TTGATTACATGTATGCTAGATTGATAGTTGCAGTCCCTGAGGACAGGTCACCGAAGCATTGGTTAATTTTTTTTAAAGCTTTTTTTCAATTCATTCTTCATATTGGTTAATTTCTGCTGATTTTTCTTCAGGTTAACTAACACTTTCATTAGCGTTCTCCAATCTGATATTAAGGTCAATCAGTACATTTTTTAATTTCAGATATTTTATTAATCTATGAGAAATCCTCATTAGATCTTTTCTATAGGTTTGTTTGTTTGTTAGATTCTCATCATCTTTTCACTTATTAGGACTATCTTTACCTCACAGTCCCTGAAGCTGTTTTTCACAGCTTTTTTATTACAAAATCTGGATATTCTTGGGGGCTGTTTCTATGGACTTTTTATTTTCTTAAGTACCAATCTCAATTTACAACTTCTTTGCATATGTAGTCATTTTTGATTTTATGCTGGACATTTTAGATGAAACTTTGTAGGAAATTGGATTATGACATTGTCTCTGTAAACTTGAATTTTTTTCCTATCAGGCAGTTGAATGATGAATATTCTTATTCTTGTCATGTTTTTAATCTATGCTAGGGAAGGTCTATTTAGGCTTTGAGCTTAATCCTAAAGTGTGGTCTTTTCTGAAGACATGGTTCTTACCCTTAAACCATGACTTTTCTGAGGTCTCCACTGAATGCCTCAGGTACTCACTGAGGTCTCTTATCACTGGTACTCTAGCATCTTCTATTACTGCTGGCCTTCCAGTATTTCTGTTTAGAACTTAGTCCCATAGCAGAAAATCTCTGCTACATGGAGTCTCACTCCTCGCATTGGCCAAGAACCTGCAGTAAATCCTCATGCAGACTTCTATCCTCAACTTCTGCACACAGCTATCTCTTCTTTGGCCACCTGCCCTATAAATTACAGTATTTTTTTTTTTTGTATCCTAGTATTCTAATCTCTGTATCCTTTGCTCAGAGAGACTGTAGTGTAACTTGATCTCCATCTCCCTGAATTAAGGTGGGAAAATAACCCCAACCAAAAGCTGAGAAAATCGTGGGGCTCATAATGTATATTTTCCTTCTCTCAAAGATCAAAGTCAGTCCTGCTGTGTCCATTGTCCGGTGCCTTAAAATGGTAGCCTCATATAGTCTGTCCAGTTTTTATAGTTGTTTACAGCAGGTAGGCAAGTCCATTACCTGTAACTCTTTCATGGCTGGAATAAAAAAAAACCCCATGGGTTTATATTTAATTTTCATAAAACCTTGTGAGATAGTATTTGTGAAGTAGGTACCATTATTATAATCAATTTTGTTGAGAATTAAACTCAGGGTAACTAATGAGTAGGGGAGTCAGAATTAGGACCTTGGTAGTCAGATTCCAGACTCTGTGCTCTGATTCAATATATTATGCTGCCTCTGTAATATGAAATTATGTTTATTTCCTTCATAGCATTTATCACACTCTCTTTTCATATATTTATTAATATTTACTTGCTTTTTAACTTTGCCTCTTCTACTATGTATAAATACATATATATACACACTTCTACTGTGTATAAATACATATATATACACATATATAATATATATACACGTATATAATATATACACACATATTATACACACGTATATATATTATATACACGCATATAATATATATACATGTATATATATATATACACGCATAATATATATACACATATATATCTACACACATATAATATATATATACACGTATATACATGTATATATATATCTCCTTTTTAAAACTGCCTTTCCACTGCCTAGCACAGACTTTTGGTAGGCATTCGATAAATATTTGTTGAATGAATAAAAAAAAGTAAATGCCACAATTATAAAATAATTTTCAAAATTGAATCTTTTCTACATATTTGATATTTTACACTTTATTTTGGCTGGCATCTGTGGCATCAAAATTCTGCAACAAAAACACAAAAATCTAAAGGTGAGAAATACGGGAAAAAGTGACATGTATCATTAGAATCTTTACAATTATGTACCTCAAGATATAGTTATATGATAAGAAAGAGTTACACCCTAATTTCTAATCTTGATAAGATAGCAGTAATTAGGAATCAGTTTTAGGATGTTCAAAACACCTACTGACAAACAATGGCATGCATCTGATGAAGTGAGCACAGAGTTGATGTATTTGGTGAATCTAGGCATTACTTTTGGTTGAAATAAAAGAAAAAAATGATATCCATGTTTGACACTTGGATATGTTATTAGAAAAAAATTTTTTTCTTGATAATTGTCTCTAGAGCCTTTGCATCACTTTTTCATATTTTAAATGGCAATACTCAGCTGATTATTTTCAAAATATATCTTTGTTGAACTTAAAACTATAGAGTTATGGTTCTCATACTCTTCTACGAGACAAAACAATATGCACTTATTTTTATCAGAAACACAACTATATGATAGTTTTAAGCTAATTTTTGTGTTAACAAAGCTCCTAAAGATATGCAGTAGGCTTCACATTTACATAAAATTAAAGAAAGGATGCTTCAGCAAATGCAAATAAATGCAAAAAAGGAATATTTTAGTCTTGATTCGTGATTACTACTAACCATCACAACGCGAAAATACAAAAGCAAAATTTTGCATTCAGAGTACAACTAATGGTTGTAAGATATTTATAGACTGAGTATCCTGATTAATTAATTAATTAATTAAGAAATATATTTATTGATTATATTTCAGGATCTGCTTTTAAATCTGAGATCTTTAAAAACATTTTAATATTAGAATCATATGCATTGACTTCTGCAGTTCTGCAATATGACAAGCACAGAAAAATGATTTATTTCACTTGGTGCATTATTAATTGTATGAATTGACTGTTTAACCTCTATTGATTTGCATTTCTTAATGTTCATTTTAGGAACAGAAGCAAAAATTATTTTACAATAGAAAAAAAGGATACAAAAGTTAATTCTAGCATAATAGGAAAGATCATTTTACTATTCACCATTATATATCCTCTCCCCAGTAATTTTCAAGGTCTTGAAAGAACATTCTCAGTTTTAAAACAAAAGTTTTTAAATCTAAATACTGACTTAATGAAGGTAACGCTTCGTCCTCAGGAATTGTAACATTTAGTTGTTTCTTATATTTGTATTTTAGTGGAATTTTTGATCCATGTTCATTATGTATTTTTATAAGAGTGAATAGAACTTTGACCTGATCATATCAATGGGAAACTTTTATTATTATAAGGGTTTTGAAAATTCATCAAACCATTTCTAATATCTAGGAGATATTTTTCTTAAAGTGTAGGCTATGTTGATCGTCCTTTTTATGTGTAGTGAAAGACATGGAGAAGGTGATATATAATTACTTTCAGAATTTCAATTTATTATTGTTTACATATGCCTAGACATTTTGAGGGCTAGTTCTGATTTAAAATATTTTCCCAATGTGCTCACGGGTCAATCAAGTGCCCAGAAATCCCAATACTTTGACATACCGAAATACGTGTTACATATCCAATATTGGTTCTTTCAAATGGAAATAGAATATAATTCTTGGACAGGCCACATGTCTCGATATTGGATTTGGAAACTATAGTTGCATAAAATGTTTCCAGAAAATACAGAGTTGAATTTTCTTTTGGTGTCAAAGAAAATCTGCCTTAGGTTCTGTCATTTATTTAAGCAGGAGAATTTCTTTCAAGCAGGTTATTTTGTGAATTTCAAAGTTATTTTGTTGTCTATTGGTCCTTGATGTCAAGCTTAATCCTATGAGCTAAAGCTCTTCCTTAGGGCTGTGAAGAATCTTGGGTAGGACTTTTTCATTCTTGTGAATGTGAGGTCGTAAGTGACTTTCACCATGTTGGCAGATCTGCTTACATAACAGGTCTTAGTATACCTGATAGTTATATTCCCCAGTGGTTATTTATTAGTATAACTGATAGTTATGTTCTCCAGTGGTTATTTAACAGGGCGAGAGTTTTGCTTTCATGTTTGTATACTTTTGCTATTTGTGTCCAAAAGAGGTATAGGATGTGTGATCAGAGAATAGACAAGACAAATGTTCTAGGTAAATTGCTCTAAGGCGGGAGGGATAGAGGCATCATAATTCTAACAAAAGAGTTATTTGAAAAGCATAGCATAATCACTTTATCTTTACTGTAGATTAAACTTATTATTACCCTGTAGATTAAACTGATTATTACCCATTAAGAAATAGACCATAAGAGAGGAATATTTTAATAGAAAAAAAAGATAGGCCTGAGTAACCCTGGGAATTTTTGGAAGTCACAAGATAATGTAACGATACAGAGTTCTGAAGAGGAATAAAAATAGGAAAAATAAATCTTTAAGGACATAGATAAAACGTGTTTCGTTCCTGTGGACAGCTCTCGCACCCTGCATGGCTTCCTTTAAGTCAGTTATGCTGTTACTAAATAAGCCATACACTTTTAAGTCTTATTAGCTCACGTTTCACAGAATTTCCTTCCACCATTCTCCATATTTTGTGCAATTTTGGAAATCCTCTCATCCTTTAATATCACCTCCCTTACTTACCTTTTCTCCCTTCTCTTTCCTGCAGTAATTTGCTACTACAGTTATCTGCGTTTTTATTTTGCCCTGAATTATGAAATAGTTGTTTATGTCTATATCTTTCATCAGGTATTGAGATGCCCTTTGTGTTTTTTGTTGTTGTTTTGTCTTTAAATTTAAATGGAAAAGAAATTGATACTATAAGTTTACATAATACCCTTTGTTTGCATAGATAGTACTTACTTGTAGTTATTATTTTGTTTTACCTGTGCGCATGATTTAAGGCAAGATCAGGTTTCCTCATCCGTAGATAGCATGTAACAAGCTTTGTCTCAATAAAACTTGCCACGCTTGCTATATCTTCAGCAGATGCTTCAAATGGTTTCCCCAGAGCTGCCCCTTTGCTGCAAAGCTTAAAAAAATACAGTACTTTAACTTTCCTAATAAACTTGGGATATAATTGATCTTTTAGATAAGCAAAACATATATATGCACACATTCTTTTTGCAAACTACAAGTAAAATATTAATATTTTGATTGTAAATTAAATAAATTGTTCCTGTTCACTATTATGTGACTATAATATAAAATAAGTAACACATTTTACTGTAAAATGCTTCCTGTAAAATATTTTTAAAGTATGATATATCTTAAAGGAATGCCATTTGCTGAGAATGTCTGTTTTAAAAATAAAGCACACGATAAGCAAAGATGTTAACAGAAAACCAGGTATAAATCATATTAAATACCAGTGCTTTTATGAAAACCCAGCTGAGCAATGATCTAGCACACTATCAAGTTTGATTTAATATAATAAGGGGTATCGGAAGTAAACTCCTAGGAGCCATTAACATCATCAGTGATTAATTTAAGTCTGAATCATATTCTCTAGGATGTTATTGAAAGAAAAGAAGTAAAAATTTATTAGAATTTATTGGCAGAGGCCACAGTATCTGAAAAACATGGCAAGAATGTGGAATTCTTAATAAAAATTCCAGGAATTCAATGGTTTCTGGGCACTATGGATAAACTATAGAAGAAGAAAATAATTATTTTGGAGAACCCCAAACATTAAGAAGTATCAATATAATGACAAAGGTAGATCAGTACTTTTTTTCCCCTCAGAATTTCCTACTGTTCCTTAGAATCAAGGCTGATGGGGAAGGAGAAACTCCATCTTCTGTTTAGTGATTTTATTTAGGATATCTGCATCTTTGCTCTTTTTTATTTCCATCTGTGTGTATACTGGGGGAAATTTTCTCACTAGAGATTATAATATCTGGAGTTAATATTTATTTGTATATATGTTAATATAAAATTTCTTGCATCCTAAATCCTGTTTGTTTAAATGATATAGTTTAAATTTTCTTTTATAGTTTAAGTCAGGATTGACTTGCCATTTACATTAACATTATTGTCAATTATTTTTTTAAAGTGCAGTTTGGCTGAGAATGGCTATATTTTGTTCTAAAATGTATTTCTATTACTTTTACCTTTATAAAACTAAAAAGAATTTAGAATCTAGATGTTTAACATCCCTAGTTATCTGATTCTATTATCTTTTGCTGATATCCTGTCAATTCTGAGAATTCATATTATTTTCTAAACACTTTTCAAATTTGATAGGTTAAAATGTTATTTCATCCATTCGATCAATAAATATTTATTGTTTACTACTAATTACCAGATAAAAATTACTGCTTTTACCTCTTAGTTTGCATTAGATAGGTCTTTTTCATAAATTTTGGCTATTTTGCTTTGTGTACATTCCTTTTTTCTATTCCTTGTCTATTTCCATTGACATGTTAATCCTTTTATTAATTATAAGAGCTCTTTAGCTATATAAGCTATTTTTCCTCTTCCTGTAACAACTACATATAGTTAATCAAATGTAAGGGTTTTCCTCCTCCAAATTATCCTTTAGAAATGGTTCAACTTTTAGTCATATTCTTTTAAGTACTCTCAAAGTACATATTATAAAACACTTTTCTCAATTATTTAAAAAAAGCATAGACTATTTGTGAAAGATACAACAGAAAAGACCTCAGTCACTGCTAACTTTGGATGCTTCATAAAGATTACGTGTTAATATTAGTAATAAAAGGGAAAAACGTTAACACTAATTTAATAACTCTTCCTGAAGTCTGACCTTACACATGTCAATCTGGTTGTAAACAGATCTTAAAATATAATTTAAGAAAGTATTGTAGTTTGAACATGGCAGCTTGAGACAGCATCTCCGCTTTTATACCAATGTGATCCCACAGGACCCAGAACTACCTAAACAGAAAGTTAAACAGAAAAAAAAAAAAGAAAAAGATTTTTAGATGGCATAGCTCTTTATAAAGCTCAAGTCAGTAGAAAAAATGACTAGAAATTGTGTAGTTTTGTTTGTTAGTATACCATAGTATTAAAATTCTAGACCTTTGTTAATTTTATCTTCTAAATGAACTCAGCATTTCTTTTCAAGTCTTAAACTCCCAAACCTCCTGGATTTATCACATAAAATTTTATAGGAAACAAAAAGAAACAAACAAGCACATTGTATATATTCTTTGCCTCTTCCTGTCTGTGTTCTTCCTTAATGTGATGAGGCAGACAAGCTTCCTTTCACAGACATACTTGTTGTAGAATGAATGTGTGGGGCATGTGGGGAGCAGTTGGGGAACAGCTTCCATGAGGACATTCAGATCCTACACAAGAAGAGGAAGCAGACCTTTGGATTTAATAATTTTAAAGGCTTTGTCTATGAACACGTAGTCAAAGGGAGGAATAAATGCTTATCTTCTAATGTCTATAACAGTCTCTACTTCTACAGGATTCAAGGCCAGAAAAGAAATAAAAATAATCAATTTTAACATACTAAAGAGAATACTTCATGAAACCAAATTATACGAGAGTAGTGAAAGACAAAGATAATTTTTCAATTCACATAAAAATGGAAAAGAAGTAACTTGCTGGGTAGGCTTTAAGTATATTTGTGGTGATCCTGGTTTATTAATCAAATATTGTAGATAGAGAACTTCCTTGATTTTATCAAAGATAGCTTTATTTGTTCTTGTACATCTTTGAAACAGGCTTTGCAATAAGGCAAACATTTATAAAATATATTTAATTTAAAGGTAGAATTATAGGTAAATGTAGAAAATCATTCCAGATATTTTGCTGAATTTTTAAATTTCTATGGAGACATTTGTAAAGAAGAAAAGTTAATTCTCCAGAAGATGAAGGATTTAATGTGATGTGAATTTGTTTGGATGCAAGAAGAGTGACTTTGTTCAAGTCATATTTATCTAAAACTATGAGCTAAGTCTTTGATGATATAAGTCATGGAGTTAAGAGAGTAGAAACTTTTAAGCTGCCTAATTAGTATAACAGTGAGAAGACTCTGAATTAAGAAAATATAATATTAGGTGTTAAATTTTTATTTCAAAATGAAGCTTAAAATATTTTTGAATGAGGCATGGACAAATTATAATATTTAAGGGAAAATGCAGTGAAAATTCTTATGGGTGTAGTTGTTGTTTTCATGAGAAGATATTAAATGAGATTTCAATAGTGTGTTAAAATCACAAGCTCAAATTTTAACAAGAAAATACATATTTTGTAAATATATTTGATAATTTCATGAAAGCCAGATAATACTTTATAAAATACTTTTTCTAAGATATCTCAAAGCTCTTTTAAGAAATAAATATCAAATCTATTTTCAGAAATTGTGGCACATAATCTTAAGTTTGTTTAAAAACACAGATAAAAATAACATATAGCTCACTAATAGCAGAAATAACCAATATGAAATATGTTCTGGATACCTTCCCTTTCTTAAAAATGCAACCAAACATTTTTCGATAATTAGAATCATTATTAGCAAGATTGATATTACTAATAGGTTCTCCCTTGTTAGAATATTGTATGGTGAGTGAGTGCCCATTATATTTCTTGAACATAAGTTTGAGTGATCCCTTAAGATCTAAGAGAGAACAAAAAATATTGAAACAAAAAATGTTGAAAAATATGCCATTATTTGAGTTATCAGGTATCAACAAATAAGGATCTATATCCTTATTTTATACTGTTTTTTGAAAATTACAAAAAAATCTAAAGATTGAGACTAAGTCTCCTATAACACTATCACCATGTATATTGCCATTAGTTTTTGCCATGTTTTTCCATATTTTTCATGTTTTTGTATCATAGTAAATTGTATATTGTATGTAAGTTTTGCATTTCTTTTTATATGCTCTACTTCTTTTTATATGTCTTCAAATAAAAATCTAAAATGTGAGGGGGCAGATGGGCTAAAAAAGGTCAAATATGTGGTGACAGAAAGAAAAATCTAACTGTGGGCAGTGAACACACAATGGAATATGTACACGCCTTACTGTTGAATTGTATATCTGAAACTTACTGGGTTTTGTTAATCAAGGTCACAATAAAACTTGTAATTAGAGAAAGAAAAAAAATCAGCCCATCTAGATCACTCTATAATGACACCCAGTCGAAAAGCACCCCCCAACACACAGAACTTCCAATTAATTCCTTATTGCTCCATTTTTAGGTATGCGCAGACAGTGAAGACACCAGACTTTTGAGGAACATTTTTTGCCTTCTTTTGTTTTAATCAAATTTAATGTATAATCTGAATAAAATAAAATGCACCTAAATAAAAAAAAAACACTAAAATGTTTTAAAATATACTTGTTACAATTATAGCTGAGTATTTCAATATCCTTCTCTCAGCAAATGATAGAATTACTAGAAAGAAAAGCAGCAAAGATATAGAAGATATGAACAATACAATCAACCAACAGAATGTAATTGACATATGTATATATATAAAATACTCCATCCAACAATAGCAGAATACATATTTTTCTCAAGTACTGATAAAAAAGTTACTGATATAAACCATATTCTGGACCATAAAATAAACCTCAACAAACTGAAAAATAACTGAAATCATTGTGCATATTCTCTTATAATAATGGAATCAAAACTCAACGGTAATAAAAACCTCAAAACACTCTATTTTGAAAATGGGCAAAAGACATGGATAGATATTTCACTGAAAAGGACATGCAGATGGAAAATAAGCACATAAAAAGATGTTCAACATGTTTATTGTTAGACACCATTAGTCATTAGAGAAATGCAAATTGAACTATGAGATATCATTACATCCTTATCAGAATGGATAAAATGAAAAATAGTGATAACACCAAAAGCTGAGAATGGTGAGGAATTGGATCAATCACACATTGCTCATAGAAATGTAAAATGGTAGAGCTAACTACCATTTAAGAAAACTGGCAGTTCCTTAAAAAATTAAACATGCCACTGCTGGTGGACTGCAAATTGGCATAGCCACTATGGAAAACAGTATGGAGGTTTCTCAAAAAACTAAGAATT